TAACTTCTCTTCCTCACCTACTGCATCCTGGGTATTGCAGGCATTGTTCCACTGTGGGCAGTGTTCTTCAGTATTCTAAAACAGAAAGTAGAGTCATTTGTGTGCGTTGCACTTGGCCATGTAATGTGTGTGTACTTGTGGTGCAGGGCCTTTGAAAGCGAGGCCTTGTAAGCATAACAGGCCTGCATTCTGCCCCTGAGCTAGCCCCCAGCCAGTCCCTGTCTGTTGTGTTCAGCTGCAGCCCTCTGCTTCTTAGAGCTTGTTTCTGATTAACTGGCATGGTGGCGCATGCTTATAATCTCAGCATTAGGCTCTCGGAGGCAGGAGGATTGCCATACATTACAGCTTAGTTTCGGTTACATATTGAGTTTCAGGTCATTCTGGGCTGTATAGAATAAACTCTGGTCTCAAGAACAAGATAACCCATTTTGATTCTCTGTAAGCACTTGACACAGTAAATTCCATAAAGATGGGCTTGGGTTCAGCTTCCTCTACTTCTAGGGGATAGTTAACAAAAAGGCAGGATTAAATTTTTCTTAATTTCATAGAGGGTAGATGGGTGGTACACACATGTGGAGGTCAGGGACCAAGTTCTGAGAGTTTCTCCTCCCACCTCTACGTGTTCCGGGCATTGAACTCAGACTGTCAGCCTTGCGCAGCATACTCTACCCGCTGAGCCTCTCATTGGCCTTGGAGTTTAATGTTTGTGGTGCTGGGAAGGAAGCACATGGAAGCAGCCGGCGTTCGGCCGTTCAGTTGCACCGTACCCCATTGTGTTGTTTCTATAAATTTAATTTTTTGTTTATTTGTAATATAATACTAACATTTTACTTACTTGACTGCTACTCTGGCTTTGCCTTAAAAATACTCCAACTCTGGCAAGATGACGGCTCCGGGGATAAAGGCGCCTGCTGCCACCAAGCAGGGCCAGGGTTCGACCCCCGGAGCCATGCAGTGAGAGGAGAGAACTGACCCGTTTGTCCTCTGACCTCCACATAAGCGTCGCAGTTTTTACTTACATTACATTCGTAGATGTTAAGATACAAACACAGTGACGTGATAGAGACCAGAAGATAAGTACGGCCCCGATAGCATCAGTAAGTGTCTGAACAGGTCTGTAGAAACATTTAAATTTCATAGTTTTAAAGCATATGGAGTTCAGAGGATCACTCAGGGCACTTGATTCTCTGCCTTAGCCATTTAGGACTCGGTGCCAAATCATCTTGCCAGCCAGTTTCATAATAAGAAAAAAAACCCAATTCTTGGACAAGTTTGACTGTTGTCAAAAGCTTGAAACTCACAGTGTACCCCATGCTGACTCAGTTGCTGCATGAGCCAACGTGCCTGGTGAAGTTGAATATTTTCTCTGAGCTAGAGTTGACTTGAGTTTGAGGAGCAGAATATAAATGGGGCAGGAGGAAAGTGTTTCCTTCTGACCACCACTAGGTGGCACCAGCAACCCAACCTTCAGATGGCCCTTTGTGGGTGAGGCATGGAAGTGGGGGATGGATCTATGTGGACCTTTCCTCCCTCTGGTCTGGAGGCCTGGGGTGTGTGTTTATAAGGCGGCAGGGAGTGGGACACAGGAAGAGCTGAACCAGCCTTCCTTCCCTCCTTCCCTCCTTCCTTCCTTCCTTCCTTCCTCCCTTCCTTCCTTCCTTCCTTCCCTGATAACTTCCCTCCTCCTTTTCCTTTCCAGCACTCATGTCTTGCTGTAGACCACAATAGGAAATCGATAGACTTTGAGTTGTGGTAGGAGCATGTTCTGCCCTGACTAGAATGTGGCTGGGGTTCCTGGGCACCAGCTCCAATGCTTTCACAGTCCAGTCTGCTCTACAGGAAATCCTGACGTTCATTGTACAGTGGGGACATTCCCTCTGCCGTGGTGGCCGCTGCTGAGTGTGCCGCAGACCACTCAGCTCTTGACTCCCTTTAGATCACCAGAGCATGTTGTCCTGAAGTCTGGTATGCAGTGCTGAAGCCTTCCTACAAATTGGCTTTAGTCCCTGCTTATGAGACTAGGAAATTGGCTCGGGGTTAAGAGCACTGGCTGCTCTTCCAGAGGACCCCGGTTCAGTTCCCAGCACCCACATGGCAGCTCACGACTGTCTGTAACGCCAGTTCCAAGGAATCCCACACCCTCCACACACAGACAAAACACCAGTGCACATAAAATAAGAATTTATTTAAAAATAAATTTAAAGAAAGAAAGCTGCTTGCTTTTTGATGGAATGCCATTCCTTGTGGCTTTTCCATTTTCCTTGTTCCCATTTCTGCCTTCAAATAAAGCATTCTGCTAAGTTACAGTGTGTGAATACTCCTTCTTTATAGTATGCAGTAGTGAACCTGAAGCAGGCCAAGCAAAAATGCCCTCTTTGTACAGCCTGCATCATGGATGGCAGTGGGAGTCTGGTCCTGAGAACCTCCCCCTGCCTGCTCACTCATCCTGTGCTGTTTTCTGAGTAGGCTTTTGTCTGATGCTGCTCAAGATCAGGACACACACACACACACACACACACACACACACACACACACACACAGTAGTTAAAAGTCTATGGGTTGGTTTTGCAGCTTTTCCTTTTTCTTTTTTCCCTTAGAGTGGTACTTTGAGAGGAGCTCTTGGCTCATCCCTAAATCTTCTGAAATTTTCACATACCTCCCCCATACAAGAAAAGAGCCATTTAGGTCAGCTTTGGGACACATCTATCTGTATTCCCTGAGGCTTAGGATGGATCATTTCAGAGTTCTAGGACACCATACTAGGCTGTGTATGTAGCAAGGTTCTGTCTCTTCCCAAAAAAGTATAATTGTGTGTGGCTATGGGTCCTTAACTATGGGTATACTTTAACTTTTATCATGTCTCCTCTCTGTTCTTCCTTTAACTGTCTCTCTTTCTTTCTCTGTTTCTCTCTTTCTCTCTCTCCCTCTCTCCTTCCCTCCCTCCCCCTCCTCTTTCTTTTGCCTTTTTTCTCCCTCCAAGCAGGTTCTTATTGTATGTATTGCACAGCAGTGAACCTCTTCGCTTAGCCTCCCAGTGTTGGGGGCACATCTCCCTGCTGTGAGTTTTAACTTCCTGAATCAAGGTGTTGGTGTTGTAGGCTGAGTTTGTATCTAAGTAAATGTTTTGTTCACTTAAATGTGTGCTTTTGAAAAAGTAGTGGTTGGCATGTTAACAGGATTTGTTTATGAACAGTGTTGCAGCTTTGCATAGAGATGATTATGACTGGTTCTCAGTACCCCATGGTCTGCTTTTGTGTTCTTAGTCCCTTTTAATTTAATTAAAGGACTCTCAGGATCCTAACTAATAATTATTTGCTACTTTTGTTGGAATCTCTCTTCTTCCTGAAAGTATACACAAGTAAATTAAATTTTTTGTTGTTGCTTTTCTCTTCTTTTCTTTATTTTTTAGTTGTTTTGGTTTTTCGAGACAGGCTTTCTTTAGGCTGTCCTAGAACTCTCTGTAGACCAGGCTGGCTTCAAACTCAGAGAGATCCACCTGCCTCTGCCTCCCGAGTGCTGGGACTAAAGGCGTGTACCACCACACCTGACTGAGTAAATTAATTTTAAAAAAGATTATTTTTGATTAGTGTGTGAGTGTGTTCACCTGAGTGCAGATGCCCACAGAGTCCAGAAGAGGGCATCAGATCTTCCGGAGCTGGAGTTACAGGTGGTTGTGGGTGTTGGTAACTGAACCCAGGTCCTCTCCAAGAACAGAGCCACCTCTCCAGCTTTATAAACTAACATTTGCCAACAGCTGATAGAACTTTCAGGTGATGAACAGGATTGAGACAAGCTAGAAGGAAGTAATGAGGCTAGATATATAGGGCTATTTATGGTGTTGAAAATGAGCAGTGTCTTGTCTTCTGCTAAAAGCTGTATCCAGAGTCCAACTCCAGTCTTCTGCTGCTCTGAGGGGCTCCCTGTGTGCATTCTGGGCCCTTATAACTGATGGCAGCAGAGCCATCTGCTGGAGAGATAGGCAGCTTTTTGCCTAGCATGCATGGTACACAAACATTCGTGTTTACATGCTCCTCATTTGGAAAGAGAGGAGGTTAGGGCTACTAGTCCTGCAATGCTCTGCCTAAAATTTTCCGCTCACGTGTCTTACTTTGGCAATGCCTTGACCCTTGGGAATACTATGCCAGAGCAGTGCCATATCAAACCCCTGGAATAGTCTTCCTGTGTGGAATAACTCTAGACCTTAACGGATTTTCTTCTCCTGCTCTTTGTAGCAACTTGTCATAAGGGTCAGGGCAAAAGAGTTTGGGAGCTTGTAGTCTCTGGCAGAGCAAGTCAAAAACATTACTGTGTTAGAAAGATGTGTGAGTGTGAGCATTCAGTGTGCACCTATATCTGCAGAGCACTCCTAACGCTGTCTAGCTCTTTTAACTCCAGCTGTGGAGCATTTCTTTCCTTAGCAGTAAGAGGAGCTGAGCATGTAGGGGTTGCAACGCTTCTAAGCCAGGCTCAGATCCTAGAAGTGGTGAGCCTGCTAGAGACAGGCAGCAGCTCTGCAGAAGCTGAGCTGCTCATCAGGGTGTGGTTGAGGGTGTTTGGGAAGGGAAGGGTCACTCAGAATGGTTTAACTTACCACACGTATTGTCAGAAGATAAGTCTGGACACTGACCCTGCACAGACCTGAACTTGCAAAGTAACCCGTTCTGCCCAGTCACACATGCACACTTGCTGGCCATCCTGGTGCTAACGTGCAAGGAGAGCCTGGGGTGCATACTGAGTTTTAGGCCAGCTAGGGCTCCCCAGGAAGACACTGCCTAAAACAAAACACCACCGAAAAGATGTGTCTTAATTGAGGCTCTATTCACTGAAAGAGAGCATGAACTCACTGTGAGCTCGAGTGCATGAAGTGATGAGAGGAAATGCCTTCACTAGTTACCTGTGCTCGAGTTGACTGGATTATTACTTAGATACCAGAAAGTCACTTTCTTTCTCGTGGTTACTTGTCTGTATCTCAGTGTCGTCTGCCCATTGTATCTTCACAGATGCTTTTACCGACTCTGCTGTCAGCGCCAAAGTGAATGGTGAGCACAAGGAGAGGGACCTGGAACCCTGGGATGCAGGGGAGCTCACAGCCAGCGAGGAGCTCGAGGCTCTGGAGAATGACGTGGTGAGTGCCATTGGTGACCGTCCAGCGTGCTTGGCACACCCCAGCTCTCAATTTAACATATAGAGCAGAGACTAAGAAAAGCCTTCACCCTGACTGGAGGGCTCAGCACTCATAAAATTACTTCTTTGTGATAAAATAGTGATACGTAATTTACTACTGGAAACTAAGGTAAGCGATGGCAGCCTGTTGTTTCCAATGCCTGTAAAATAAGCAGCCTAAGGCAGGTAGCATTTAACCGTGTGTTGACTTTCCTAAAGTTGAAGTCAAAAGTTGGCCTTTTTGTTTGAGGAAGAGAAAGTTATCGTTAAGATAAGATTTTAGGTTAGGTGTGCCAATTGTGATGTCAGCACTCAGGAGGTAGAGGTAGAAGGGTTAGGAGTTCAGGATCAGCCTTCACTGTAGAGAAAGTTTGATGCTAGCCTGTACTGTATAAGATCCTTACTCAAAAAAACAAATCAGCCAGTGTGGTGTTACCTGCCTTTAATCTCGGGAGACAGATACGGACAGGTCTACATAGCAAGTTCCAGACTAGCCAGGGCTGCCCAGTGAGAGCCTGTCTTGGGGGGAAAAAATAGCAATCACAAAAGCAAATAATTACATTATATTAAAATTAAAGCATTGCTCTGGGCGGTGGTGGCACAGGCCTTTAATCCCAGCACTCGGGAAGCAGAGCCAGGCGGATCTCTGAGTTCCAGGCCAGCCTGGTTTACAGAGCGAGTTCCAGGACAGGCTCCAAAGCTACACACAGAAACCCTGTCTTGAAAAAAACAAAACAAAACAAAAAATTTAAAGTATTGCCTAAATCCCTTGAACTTAAGTTAGTGTCACTCTCTACAGAACCTTGTCTCTGAAATGTGTGTTTAACATGCCGTCTACAATTCAGATTGTAGGAGACTTTGTGATAGAGCACAGAGCTTTTTCAATTTTATTTTATTTTTTTTTTTTTTTTTTTTTTTTTTTTTTTTTTTTTTTGGTTTTTCGAGACAGGGTTTCTCTGTGTAGCTTTGCGCCTTTCCTGGAGCTCACTTGGTAGCCCAGGCTGGCCTCGAACTCACAGAGATCCGCCTGTCTCTGCCTCCCGAGTGCTGGGATTAAAGGCGTGCGCCACCAACGCCCGGCCTCAATTTTATTTTTATTTTAGGTGTCTGGGTGTATTGCATATATGTCTGTGCACCTACCTCTTAGAGGACAGAAGAGGGTGTCAGATAACCTAGAACTAGAGCTACAGACAGTTGTGAGTTTCTACAGGTGCTGGGAATTGAACCTGGGTCCTTTGGAAGAGCAGCCAGTGCTTATAACCACTGAGCCATCTCTCCAGTCCCTTAGCACATAGAGATTTAAGGTTAACCATAAATAAGGTTATGTGAGCAAAGAACCTTCTGTTGTGAACAGAGCACCTGAGTCTACTGTCTGAGGCATAGTCATGTAGTAAGAGTATCTTCTCCTCTAAGAGCTCACCTGGCTGATAGAACAGAACTGCCTTGGAAACCTGTCATTGTTCATCTTCAAACTCTAAAGATTCATCTAAACTTATTACAGTGGTTCTCACATGTGTATCACCACACCTTGGGATGGGAAACTTTTTACTCTGGTAGTTAGGTGGATAAGTTCGTTGAGGGCTTTGTGGGGAGAGGGGCAGTGTTTATCAAAATTTAAAATGTGATTTATTCTATCAATCCTACTAAGATTTTTAGCTGATTGTGGTGGTGCACACCTTTAGTCCTAACACTTAGGAGGCAGAGACAGTTGGTTTCTGTGAGTTCAAGGCCTGCTTTGGCTACACTGTGTGACATTGTTTTGTTTCTTTTCTTTATGGTTTTTCAGGACAGGTTTTCCCTGTGTAGTTTTGGAGCCTATCCTGGAACTCACTTTGTAGACCAGGCTGGCCTTGAACTCATAGAGATTCACCTGGCTTTGCCTATCGAGTGCTGGGATCAAAGGCATGTGCCACCACTGCCCTACTGAGACTTTGTCTCTTTAAGAAAAACAAAATTATATAAATTAAAAATAGAATATTTACTTTAGTGCTAATATATCTATAATACATGCAAATAATTATGTTTCAGGGTATTTTGAAGCATTATTTCTGTTAGTAGGTACCCATTAGGAAAGCATGAATTTCTTAATAGAGATACATTCCTACCAAAAACCAATATTCAAATAGGAAAGATACCTAATATACTTATTAACAAAAAAACAAGTTGCAGAATAGCAATACTGTATTTAAATTCTAAAAATACGTATTAAGAGAGAGAGAGTGAGTGAGTGTGTGTGTGTGTGTGTGTGTGTGTGTGTGTAAATAAGTTATGTACACATAAAGACCAGAAGGGCAACAGATTCCCTGGAGCTGGAATTCTATGGAGTTGAGAGCTACCATGCAGGTGCTACAAATCCAGCCTCATTACTTAGACCTCTTTTTTGTTGTGTTTTATTTTATTTACTTTCTTTTAAGACAAAGTTTCTTAGTTGTTGGGTGTTTTGTTTTTAGACAAAATTTCTCTATGTAGCTCTGGCTATCCTGGAACTTGCTCTGTAGACTTGGCTGTTCTTGAAATCAGATCCGTCTGCTATACATCCTGAGTGTTAGGATTAAAAGCCTGCACCACCACACCCGGCTCAGTAGTAAGAGCTCTTAACCTTAAAACCACTGGCTTAAGCTCAAAAAAGTTCCTAATAGTAGTTATTTATGTGCCTTGGAATTTGAAGGTGCTTAGTTTTAGTGGATATTTTTCTGTTTAGTTTGGTGCATCATTCATAGATTATTGAAGTCATAGTCTTCCAATTAAAAACAATTTACGAGACAGAGACAGAGAGACAGACACCATGGTGTGCAAATGGGGTCCTGAAGACATCTTGTGGGAGTTAGCTCTCTTCCTCCACCATGTCCTATGAAAAAATAATACGTGTTCTTGACCACTGAGCCATCTCTCCAGCTTTAGCCTATTAGGCTAACGAAGGAGAACTGGACATGAGAGAGGTATGTGGCAAGCCATCTATTGATACTTGCCACTGAAGATTCTGCTCTATTAGCCCCAGTTCTTCCCTGCTGAAGAATGCAGCCCATGTTTTGAGAGTGGCCGTTTCCTTCTCCGCTGAGGTTGGAAGTTAGGGCAGTGAGACCCAGAGCTGTTGCTGGGATCGCCCTGCAGCCTCCATGGCAGACAGACTCAACTCGTGTGCTGTCGTCCCGTTTGCCTTCCTGTTGCTCTATGCTGCCCTTCCTTTCCTGCCTTGGGGAAGGGACGGTGGCAGGGCCTGGAAATCAGTAGGAAAAAATGGACTGCTTTTCCTTTCCCAAAGGTTTTTGGCTATCACAATGCACCTCTTACCCTTCTAAGACCCACTTTAGGGATGGAAGTTGTAGGGAAGGCTGTTAGTATACTGAAGGAGAGAACTCTGACCCAGAGGCCCCGGATTCATGACGTGGCTGGATGTTCTAAGTTTTTCTTATATCCTCTCAGATAACTCATGTAATCACCTACCAATTTAAGGGGGTGATACATGTAAGAAGAGTTCTTCCTAAAGAGTTGTTTGTTTATTTTTGTTTTTTGAAATAGGGCCTTTTTTACTATAGCCCAGGCTGGCCTTGAACTCAAAACATACTCCTGTCTCAGTTTCCTAAGTGCTGGTATGACAGGCAGGAGCTATGTCTAGCTTTCTTGAAAAGGTTCCTTCCTTCCTTCCTTCCTTCCTTCCTTCCTTCCTTCCTTCCTTCCTTCCTTCCTTCCTCCCTCCCTCCCTCCCTCCCTCCCTCCCTCCCACAGTATCCTGCCAGTGTGTATGCCTGCAGGTCAGAAGAGGGCGCCAGATCTCATTATAGATAGTTGTGAGCCACCATATGGTGCTGGGCATTGAACTCAGGACCTCTGGAAGAGCAGCCAGTGCTCTTAACCACTGAGTCATCTCTCCAGCCCCTCTAAAAAGTTTCTAAAGGCAAGTTTGGCATTTCTGGAGGGAAGGGATGGGATTAGGTCCAGCCAGTGCAGTTTGTTAGGTGTTATTGCAAGAATTGGTTGCAGCTGAATTAAAAAGTTGATTTTGAAAAATGACCCTCGTTTTCCTTCTAGTCTAATGGATGGGATCCCAATGATATGTTTCGATATAATGAAGAGAACTACGGTGTAGTGTCCACATACGATAGCAGTTTATCTTCATATACGTAAGTTCACAAAGTTCTCTTTTATTTTAGCTAATTTGTCTTAATCAGCTTAAATGATGTTGTTGAATAAATGTTTCTGTTTTATTTTAAATTATACATCGAAACAAAAACAAAGAAAGCCGGGTGCTGATGGCACACATGTTTAAACCCAGCACTCAAGAGGAAGAGGAAGGTGGATCTCTGTAAGTTCGAGGCCAGCCTGGTCTACAGAGTGAGTTCCAGGTTGTCCAGGGCTACACAGAGAAACCCTGTCCCAAAAAAAACCTAAATAAATAAATAAAACAAAAATGTGACGTTCTTTCTTTTAACTATTTAGGCTTTCAAGCTCACAATAAAACAGTGAATAAATGTAGTCCCTCCCCCCATACCTTCTTTTTTGGTTAAAATACATTTTGTCTTTGTTTTCAAATTGTAAAAAGGTTAAATTCCCAGTGATATGGGTTTGCATGAATCATTTCCTGAAATGGTAAATGCTCTTTTGTGTGACAAAGAGTGCGTGTTTATGATAGCAAACCCCCCTTACTTTGACAGTGTCTCTGGTGACCCCATGCTGTAAACTTTCTTAATAGTTGTGTGTGACCCAGAACAGAAGTGTGACGGTGAGACAGTCACCATCTTCTTTTCTTTGTGTTCAGGGTTCCCTTAGAAAGGGATAACTCAGAAGAATTTCTGAAACGGGAGGCAAGGGCCAACCAGTTAGCGGAGGAGATCGAATCCAGTGCTCAGTACAAAGCCCGTGTGGCCCTTGAGAATGACGACCGGAGCGAGGAAGAAAAGTACACGGCGGTCCAGAGGAACTGCAGTGAGCGCGAGGGGCATGGCCCGAACACCAGGTATGTATTACAGGGTCCACCGCACAGTGTTTGGACCCATCCCCCTGGGTGAGAAGAGGTCGTCCCACTGCCTCCTCTTTCCTGACGCTTAAGGAGAAAATGCTGCTGGTGGGTTGGGGTAAGATTCGGTTAGAGAAGAGACAGTGGTCATCCTGGTAGTATCTTTGGGGATTCAGCTTTCTGGAGTCAAGTGTTGGACATCCGAGGACCCAGCCCAGACCCCAAGGAGCTCTGCACTGTGGCCTGCAGGATGAAGGTCTGTGGAGAGTACTAGGGACATCTGGAGTGGGAACAAGCCACATCAGGAGGTAACATGTGTGATAAGATAATAATGGGGCCTGTTTGCCACTGGCAGGGTGGGACTTTTTTTTCCCCCACCGGCAGAAACACGATCCTGTAAGAGAGTCTGGCCTCTTCAGGCGAAGGCTAAGAACCCAGGTTCGGTATTTTGGATGCCATGATGGCAGGTGGCAGAAGTACTGGTGTGCCGTATTTGAAGAGGGGCTTGTAGGTAACATTGAGGAACAAACACGCTCTGAGTCGGAGAGCCCTGTCTGTGTGGCATATGCAGCCGAGAGGAGTGTTAGCTGCTAGACAGCCTCGCTGTGGGAAGGCTGGAAACCAGGGAACTTGAGCCTTGCTCGGAAATTGAGCTTTTACTGATGCTCGTTCTGAGAACACGTGAGCTAAAGCCAGTGTGAAGTGAACTGGAAGGGACATGTGAGGATCAGTGGTTGAGTGCTTTGTGGGGCTTGCGGGCCTCTCGTTTCTTCATAAACAGTTGTCCAAATCTGCTACATTGTGAGGACAGCACAAGCTGTGTTCTGTCTTCAAGGTTTCCTAGCTGAGTTTTGTGGTTCTTCTGATCATCACGGAGTGTCAGGAGGTTGAAATGAGCACAGCTTGTTACACTGCTGGCGGGGGGGACTCAGGCCGTGTGGTACTGACTGAGCTGTGTGAGGAATGTTCTTCTGCCTGCTGTACCTTTAAGTGTGTTCTGTCAGTCCCACACTTCTTAGCAGAAATGATTTAGAGGGGCTCTTATTTCCAGGGAAAATAAATATATTCCTCCTGGACAAAGAAACAGAGAAGTCATATCCTGGGGAAGTGGGAGACAGAGCTCACCACGGATGGGCCAGCCTGGACCAGGCTCCATGCCATCAAGAGCCGCTTCTCACACTTCAGACTTCAACCCGAACTCTGGTTCAGACCAAAGAGTAGTTAATGGAGGCAAGTATTTTGACCAGATTTGTTAATGTTATCAAATATAGAGATATCTAAATATTTAAGAGTTTACAGAATGGATAGGAATGTGCATGCCATTTTTGAATTTTGTGAAGTAGTTTTTATTATCTATAACTTAGTTTTGTTTTGTGGCTATCAGATAGTATAACATCATATATGTCCTTGGCGCATTTAAAGGACAACACGGTCCTGAGCTGTTGCATGTCTCTCATACTCATTTGGCCTAAAAACACTCCACATACAAGATTGGAAACTCTTGAGGAGGGTCTCAATTTAAAAAGCCCTGGGTAATAAAACTGTAGGCATAGTTCATGGGAAAGATACTCCAGTTAATACAGATTCATTTTATTAACTATGATGGATTTCCATTCTGTTTACTTCAAGGAAGAATTTGGGGTAATATTTATAATATCAGACATGAGCAAGAGTCATGTGAATAAAATCATGAGAGAATCGTGCTGAAAATACAGCACAGAACCTTGGGTTTCTGCGGGTAGGTGTTAGTGCGTAGCAGCACCTTGGATCTTGAGTAGGACGGCACTTTTTGTGGTGTCTGAGTCAGGTGAACACAGATGATAGGTGTTAGTAGAAATCTGATAGACTCAACAGCAGAAATGAAATAATTATGTGCACATGTGATCGTTAACAGCAGTAGTGTGGTGTTACTCAGGAGAAGAATGGACAGCCAGTTTCAGGTGTTGAGGGTTAGAACAGTACAAGCTGGATGAGGAGGCCCATACCTGAGGCAGAGGGATGAGCAGTGAAAGGCTATTCTGGGTCATGTGAGACCCCATCTTAAAGAAAGGAAGGGAGGAGAGGAATTCAGATGAGTACAAACATTTGTTTTCACTGAGTCTTTCCAGAATTCCTCTCCAAGTAAACACTTTGAGTACTTCTGTACCTAGCAATGGTGGTGAAAATATCTTTGCTCACCGAGTAAAGGTTTTCAGTTGTTTCTGAACAGAATTTTCAAGTTAAAAACTTGAAGGGGGCTGAGAAATGTGTATACTCCAGAGTATGGGGACCCCCCTCCCCCTGTAGAGCAGCCCTGGACTGCTGGCTAAGCGCCAGGGAAGTGGCCACGAGGCCTGGCTGGGCAGTTGGCAGGTCTTCGGCTGGTACAGCAGGCTGTAGGTAGGTCGGCCCTTTCTAGTGTGTTGAAATGAGATTGGTTTACAAAAGCACCCAGTGTTGTTACTCCATCCAGCGTTCTAGAAAACAGTAGAACTAAGTTTTTATTTCTAACTAAGTGGGACTGGGTTAATGAGCTTTGAGACTGACACTTGGGCTCAGATGTAGACCTGATGAAAATCTCAGGTGAACATAAGGAAACAGCTTTTACATTGGATTCAGTAGCTGGTGTTTCGTTATTGTCCAGAGCTGAAGCCAGTAAAGGAGATGGCCTTCCGGAGCAGGAGTTACTTACTGTGTTGTTGAGGGAAATGATCTGTGTGTGTGACATTCTCTTCACAACAGCCGAAGAAGTGGGGTACTAGGCAGAGTCGTAACTGTCTTCTCCAGTAGTGTGTGTAGATCCTCATTAACCCTTTGGGAACGTGGATTCATTTAAACAGACTTGCTTTGAAGGAGGTTAAAGAAAATGTGAATTTGTGTCAGTTAAGTTATGCTAAAACTTAGCACAAATCAAATGACTGTCCTCAAAGGGTTAAAATGTACAAGAAATCATTTTTGTCATTTTACTTTTTTTCTGTTTACTTTTCCCCTCATTTTTTCTTTAGTTTTTATACTTTCCTTCATATCATTTGTTCTGTCAGGTGTTCCCTGGCCATCGCCCTGCCCATCTCCTTCCTCTCGCCCACCTTCTCGCTACCAGTCAGGTCCCAACTCTCTTCCACCTCGGGCAGCCACCCCTACACGGCCGCCCTCCAGGCCCCCCTCGAGGCCATCCAGACCCCCGTCTCACCCCTCTGCTCATGGTTCTCCAGCTCCTGTCTCTACTGTGCCTAAACGCATGTCTTCAGAAGGTACAATACCACGATTTGTTCATGTTTTTGTTTGTCTTTGTTTGACTCCTTTGTGAGTTTATGATTACAGAGTAGTTTCCTCTTCATTAGTTAATAACCTATAATTTCTGTGTTTAACTTTAGTTTATTAAAACTTACTTCTATTAACCTGTTGTTCACTACAGTGAAACTTGCTAAGTGCTGTGTGTAAAGCTCTGCACTGTCCTGGATGGAAAGATGGGATCTGACCTGTCTTAAATGTCGCTCCTTTGGAGCCTAGGAAGGTCACAGGCCCAACACAGTAACAGTGATGAATCGGGGCTGTGACCACTTGCCGCTCCGGGGCGTGGGTGGATAGAGGCCTGCCACATTCCAACTCCCTGGCCATGGTGCCAGTGAAGCTTCCTGTTGGCCAAGGGCAGGACTGCTATTTTGGGGTCCCTTGTGATTCATGACATCCCTTATAGTGGCTTTGTATGTCCACCCTCAGGTAACAGTAGTTCTTAGAGTGCCTGAGGAACTATAAATTTAATTGAATAATTATTTTTAAATTAGTTTTGCACTATCACTATAGTGAAAGGTTATTTTAATTTGGGGGGAGGCATTTATCTAAAATTTATCAATTAAAAAACAGGTATAAATTTGAGGGTCTTTTTTTTTTTTTTGTCTTATTTGCTCTTGTCAAAATTGTATTTGATGCTGAATTGACCATTGTTGCATGTCATATCTTTTGAATGGTGGCACACACCTGTAATCCCAGTGCCCGGGACGTAGGCAAGAGGGTTGCCAAAAGTTAAGGTCAGCTTGGCTTTTGAATGAGTTCTAAGCCAGCCAGGAGTATATGGTGAGACCTTGTCCTAGCCATTCCCACACCTGCCCCCAAAAGGTAGCATTCTGATTTAATGCAATTTGTAAGTTAAAAACATCTTTTGTTCTAAATGACAATGTCCTTTGTTCAGAATATTTCTGTTAATACTCTAATCAGATTGTCTTGGTAAAAGTCATGAAAAATGTAGCTGATCAAGACCAATAGTTTCCTGAAGAACCTGCTTGGGAGTAAACTATATTGGCTACTTTTCAATTTTCCACCAGGCAGAAGGGAGCTTCATGGCTGAAGATTTCAAATTTCACTGAAATTGTAATGCCTGTTTTTCTAGTGGTCCTTAGCTGCAACCTGGAACTCTGTTGCAGACCATGGGGTAAAGGTGTTTATTCCATGAGAATGCCTTAGTTAGGAGCTGTGAGCACAGGTGAACCGTGAACATGGCATTGAAGTCGGGTGGGAGCGCTGCTCCTGGTGCCCACGAAAGAATGCACTGCTGCATTGGTCCAGGGTGCTGGCACTCCAGGTGAAAGCCCTCCACAGTAGGCTAGTGAGCTGACTCTGGCTAAGAGTCCTTGCTGTGCAAGCCTCAGGACCTACGTTTGGTCTCTGGAGCCCATGGAAAGATGGAGAGAAAGAACTGACTCCCTAAAGTTGACTTCTCTTACATGCCATGGCATATATAAGCCCCCCATCATACACATAAAATAGTAATTAATAAATTTTAAAAATTAAAGGAAAGTCCTGACATTGATTAGTGTTTTCTGAGATCATTCTGACTGTGTTCCCACTGAGGACACACAGAGAGAACATGTATTAGGAGCCACACTTAGGGCTCTGAGAAGGGTAGTTCTGGGCTTGGGTTTTTACTCAGTGCCTTAGTACCACCCAGCAGACGGCTGTAGACACAACCATCCCTGATGGCTGGCAGAGTCAGTGACAGAGTGTCACCAGTTGACACAGTGCACATTTCTGCCAGAGCTGCTCCTCCTGGCCTTACGTGTGAGGACTGCCTAAGTCACGATCTGTAAAACTGATGACCGTGGTAAAAGAGGACTAAGAGAACTGAGTTCTGCTTGAAAATACTCCCCCCACACACACCCTAAAGAATATACCTCAGAGATAGAATGCTGTCCTAACAAGTATGGGGACCCCAGCACTGCAAAAAAACATTTTTTGTCTCATTTTGAAAGTAGTAAAATTGGGTAGAAAGGTAAAGTAAGAATATCTTATCATTTAGCCGTAATTCCTATTAAAACTGTATTATAACTTATCCTTACATACAAACTGAAGTTATGCAGTGTTATACCGTGTTCTTTGATTTATCACCGTCAATCAACTTTATCTCTCCCTTGCTTTAAAAGTAAAGGGAAATAAGGCTGGAAAGATGGGTCAGCTATTAGAGAGCTTCTGCTCTTCCGAGGACCTGAGTTCAGTTCCCAGCCCCCTTGTCAGGTGTACAGCACCTGAGCCCACGTGCGCATACCCTCCTACAGACACACAGGATAGTGAACAGTGAAATAAGCCTTAAGAGGGGGCGATCAAATGTACTTAGATAACTGACATCCCGCAAGATAACTGTTAGTGTGGCCAAAAATCAGCAGTGTGTTTATTTCATTTTTTAACCAATGAGAGTCTGTTAGGGAAGTCAGAGTATGTGTCTGTGTGTGGCAAGAAGCCAGTGAGGCAGACAGTGCAGGACTCACCGCCGCCCATCGTGTCTCCCTCAGGCCCTCCAAGGATGTCTCCAAAGGCACAGCGGCACCCTCGCAGTCACAGAGTCTCCGCGGGGAGAGGCTCCATGTCTAGTGGCCTCGAGTTTGTATCCCACAACCCCCCAAGTGAAGCAGCTGCTCCTCCAGTGGCCAGGACCAGTCCTGCAGGGGGCACGTGGTCCTCAGTGGTCAGTGGGGGTAGGTATGACCCTGTGACAGTGCTGATTTTGTCATTATGGTCCATGTCCAGAAAGGCCGAGCTCAAGATCTGAGAGGAGGTACAGAGTCACATTAGCTATGGTGGCCTAAGTGAGAGTTGCTGGTTATGAATGTTACACATCCTCAGGACACTAGTTGAAGGACTGTCCCATCACTCTGTATTCAATCTGTAAACATGTTTAGGCTTCTTACCACTGTGCGTTTCCATGGCATCTGCTTGTGGAATAAACAGATACTCACCTGGTGATCTTCAAGGAGTAGTCTACACAACAGGAGGTTCATTTTTCTATATGAGTTGCCCGAGAAGATGCTGACGGTCAGCAGCTGTAGCGATCAGGGTCCTACTTTGAGCAGATGTAGAATTAGGCCCAGACTGCTCCCCTGTTGTGTAGGTCAGGCCATAGTGCTTCCTCCCAGGACTGCAGAGCCAGGGCCTGTGCCCACTCTACTTGTCCTCCTTACTGTTCTCAATCAGCCACCAGGCCTTTGCCAGCTTAAAGAAAAGCCCAGGACTGATACATGTCTGGGTTTGGTTTGGTTTGTTTTTCCTACACCCTGTATAGTGTGCAGTTGTAGTAGTTGCCCTGTAAATTCCTTTATACTCTGTCCCTTGACCTTCTTAACTGAAGATTAAAATGAAAATAGAAGAGGAGAATCTTGAGGTGTTCTACTCCTTTGGCATTAGTTGGATGGTCTGGAACTGAGTTTGAGGGTAGCAACCTCACTAGAAGAAATAAGAGAGACAGTTGCTAGGGATACACTGAGAATCGTGTACAGGGCTCTTCTCTACACTAATTGGACAAGTCAGAGTACTGAACAGTTTCCTTCTATGATGCTTGTGATTTCACAAAGGAAAGTCACTAAAGTGATGCAAATCGAACGATTTCCGTTAAGCCCTTGAGCCTGAACTCTGCAGATAGGTTTTTAATGGACTATGAAACATTACGCAGTTATTTTGGAGTCATTCATTCATTCATTCTGTGTTAGCTGCACCTTTAGGCTAATTGTGTCTCAATTTCCTTCAGCACATAGGCTAAGCAGCAAGCTACCAAAGGGGTTTTGTTTCCTGTGTTGATGGAAGGAGACCAGGGCAGTAGGGATCTCTGTCATCTTGAAAAGTAACTTACTGCTATGGAGGTCCTTGGTGTCTTGTTTTCCTTCAGTGTAATTTGGCTTGCCATTGAACTCTGGTTTTGAGTTTTGTTCAAAATACTTCAAAGTTAATACATTTAATTAGGAGGGAAAACCACAGCTGTACTTAGATATTGGTAATTTCTGTCATATTTCTAAGAGTTTAATGAATATCTTCTTGCTCCTAGTTCCAAGGTTATCTCCAAAAACGCACAGGCCCAGGTCTCCCAGGCAGAACAGTATTGGAAACACTCCCAGTGGGGCTGTGCTTGCTTCTCCCCAAGCTGGCGTCATCCCTGCGGAGGCCGTGTCCATGGCTGTCCCCGCTGCGTCTCCCACTCCTGCCAGCCCTGCGTCCAACAGAGCTCTGACCCCGTCCATTGAGGGTATGAACCGGAGGTCTTTCCCGTGTGACCAAGAGCTGTATTCTGAATATACAGTGGTGTTTCCATGGAAACAAGAGGCCTGTGTGAGGCCTACTCTTCTGCGTATATTATTTAACCTCTGGTATCAGAGGTTCTGACCTGCTCTGTGTGACAGTCCTGTTGTATGAACATGCTTACTGAGTTTTGGTGTGATCACTAGCCGGGCAGAAGAATTTGTGTTTAAATGAAAATCAGAAGGGTTTGGTGTTCTCTCTGTGACTTTCCTAATGTCTGTCAGATGACGCTTTCTTTTTTAACTTGTTTTCTAGCTAAAGATTCCAGGCTTCAAGATCAGAGGCAGAACTCTCCTGCAGGGAATAAGGAAAATATTAAAGCAAGTGAAACATCACCTGGCTTTTCAAAAGCTGAAAACAAAGGTCAGAGTGTGTTGAAGAACCTTGCCTATCTAATTTCGTGCTCCACACTGCCTGCCCTCTTTCTAAAGTTGGTTTGTGCGCAGTGCACATGCTAATCAGCACCAAGCCCAACAGCTATTAGAAATGCTAGTCTTCAGGGGATGGGTCTGTTCTCATCCCTCTTGCCCTATTTGGGGTTAAAGGCGTGTGCCACCACACCTGGCCTCTCTTCTCGTTTCTAATATCCCATATTAAAAGAATTTCCAGTTTAAGGTCAAAAGTAAATTGGAATCTAACAGGTTTTGGTTTTTCAGGTATGTCACCGGTTGTTTCTGAACATAGAAAACAGATTGATGATTTAAAGAAGTTTAAGAATGATTTTAGGGTAAGTTCCCTATCGACTGATTGCTTAGAATTTATAAAAGAAAATAGTGATTTTTTTTTTTTATACGACCATTTCACAAAAATACGTTTTTAAAATACACACACACACACACACACACACACACACACACACACACACACACACACACATTCATTATTAAGTAACCTGCAGAAAGTCAAACTTTTTTTAGTTTGTTTGGTTTTGTTTTGGTTTTTGGAGGCATATGAGTGTTTGCCTTATGTATGTGGGCCATGGGCTTGCCTAGTGTGCTTGGAGACTAGAAGAGGCAACAGGGTGCCTGGAATTGGAGTTGTGATGGTCATGAGCCATGCTGAAGTCTTAAGTCCGCCCTACTCTCCTAGTGTCATTGCTCTCGTGGAGCACAGACCTGAGTCTGCTGCTGTCTATCTGACACTTCTGTGGGGTTAGCTTTGGAATCCAGGGCGGCACAGAGCTCCATCCTCTGTTCTGTGTCCCTCAGAAGATCTGGGTTTGTTAGTTTCCTTTCTCCCATTTTGTGGGTTGTCTTTTCACTTTCCGTTCCTCGAAGCAGACAGCTTTATTTAATGACATCTAGTTCTTTTTTCCTGATACCAGTTGCCACTTGGCTTGTGACGTTGGTGTCTGGTCTTGCCAATCACTGTGTAAATCCACGGTCCTGGAGGAACACTGCTGTTCTCCTAAGACTCCGAGGGGAGGTCGCGTCTGCACAGCTCACCTTGCTAAGTGAGGGGCACACTGTCTTTCCCTGTGGGCCTCTTCCTTCTCACGTGTGGAAGATGGACTGTGTTACTCCGACTCTTGTGGAAAGTTGCTTGCAGATGTGGAAGTTTGGTACTAGACTCTCCGTTCCTTCCAGTGTCTGTGGTTTGCCCGTGTGGTGTTGATTGCAGGTGATACCTTTTTGAAAGGCTGTTCTTGCCAGATGTAGTGCGCACACCTCAATCTCAACAGAGACAAGCAGATCCAGGACAGCCAGGGCTACGCAGAGGAACCCTGTCTTGAAAAGCCACACACAGATAACTATGTAAAGATGGATACATAGTATGTATGTATGCAGCAATGAACAGGAGACTAACATGGGTTGTCCTCTGACCTCTACACATCACCTGTGCACCCCGCCCCTGTCTCTCTGTCTCTCTCTCTGTCTCTTTCTCTCTCTCTCTCTCTCTCTCTCTCTCTCTCTCTCTCTCTCTACACACACACACACACACACACACACACACACACACACACACACGCATGCGCAGGCTATTCTTTATGTATTAGATGACTTCTAGCCACTGCAGTATTAGTTTACAGCTCTCTTTGACCCTCCCTTAGTGATAAATCCTTTCCCTGTCCAGATCTTCATTTTTTTTTTTCTAGCCTTGATTTGGGCTTGGTTGGTTGTTGGTTTTCTGAGAACTTTAGGTGTAGCATTGAGTTACTTATTTGAGATCATATCATTAATTTCTTTATTGCTTGACTTTTAAAAATTAATTTAAATTTTTCCTTAATAATTTTTTAATACTTAATCATTAAATTCCAGGTAGTAGTAACATTAAGAGTCAGTCACAAGGAGTTGATCATACTTTTTGTGTGTGCGTGTGTGTGTCTAAGAAACTTTAATGTTTCTTAAAAATCACGTTACTAGGGGCTGGAGAGATGGCTCAGAGGTTAGGAGCACTGGCTGCTCTTCCAGAGGTCTTGTGTTCAGTTCTCAGCACCCACAGGGTGGCTCACAACCATCTGTAATGAGAGCTGGCCTGCAGGCACACATGCAGACAGAACACTGTATACATAATAAATAAATCTTTAAAAAAAAACAAAACACATTACTAAATGTAAAATTGAGTGTATGGTGTCCATTCCGTGCTTCCTCTGTCCTGATTCCCTGGGGCTTCTGTCCTGGCCCTCCTGTCACTGTGGTGCTTTGAAGCCAGTTCTGTCACTCTGCACCGTGGGCATCAGGAGACGGGGCAGTCCCATGGCCAGTGAAGGACAGGCTGGGCTGTCTGCGGTCCTGACTGATCAGTAGATAGGTCATCAGCCACCCTGTGACGTTCGGATTGGTGTGTTGACTGCCATTCTTTCTTTTAAGAGCAGTCTTCATTCTGTAGTATAGCTGAGTGCTGGTTATCTTACTTTAATTTTTTATTTATTGACTGATTGATTGATTGGTTTTTTTTTTATTTTAGACAGGGTTTCTCTGTGTAACAGTCCTGGCTGTCCTGGAACTCACTTTTGTAGACTAGGTTGGCCTTGAACTCAGATCCGCCTGCCTCTGCCTCCCAAGTGCTGGGATTAAAGGTGTGTGCCACTACAGACTGGAACACTGTTGGGCTTTTAAAGTTAGTTTTTGTTTAGGTTATGGTTATTCTCCTGAGGCTTCCCTTCTTTTGGCCTCCCTTTGGGTTTCTGCCTTCCCGTGTCGTCTGGTGTCAGCCATACAGTTGCTCGTTTTGGAAGCCTGTAGTAAAGATTTAACTTTTTTCTCTTGCCCCTCAGACAGAATCTCTTTATATAGCCCAGAATGGCTGGAACTCCCAGCTGTTCTGCCTCTGCCTCCCAAGGTCTGAAATTGTAGGCATGAGCCACCGTATTCAGCTAATAATTGTGGAGAGGTGGGCCATGGTCTCTCTACATAGTCCTGCTGTCCTGGAACTCACTATATAGACCAAGCTGGCCTAGAATTCACAAACCTGCCTCTGCTTCCTGAGTGCTGGGATAAACCAGGCTTGGTGGCCTTTACTTCCAGCACTTGGGAGGCAGAGGAAGGCAGATCTCATGAGGCCAGCCTGGTCTACAGAGTGAGTTCCAGAACAACTAGGGCTATGTAGAGAGACCTGGTCTCAGAAAAAAAGGCCATATTCTGGAAATATGAACAAAAAGCCTTATTCAAAGTATTTCATTATCTTCAGATACTACTTTGCTTATACTCACGGGAACTTATTTCTTTTATTTAGTTACAGCCAAGTTCTACATCCGAATCTATGGATCAACTTCTAAGCAAAAGTAGAGAGGGAGAAAAGTCACGAGATTTGATCAAAGACAAAATGGAAGCAAATGCTAAGGATGCCTTTGTTGACAGCAGCAGCAGCACCTGTCCCAGTGGCAGCAGCAAGACCAACAGCCCTAGCATCTCCCCTTCTGTGCTTAGTAACACAGAGCACAAGAGGGGGCCCGAGGTCACGTCCCAGGGGGTGCAGACTTCCAGTCCAGCCTGCAAACAAGAGAAGGATGACCGAGAAGAGAAAAAAGACGCTGCTGAGTGAGTCATCTGGGGGTTAGAACATCCTCTATCCAAGTAAAACTTGCTTTAAAGGATTTCCTCCTTCCCACTTGGAGTTGTCTGCATGCTCACAGGGCTTTCGAAGTAGCTAATAAGAGCAGGTTTAATAAATCCTCGCTGAATGCGGTCATTGAAATCTTAACATTCTTCCCATTCTGATTTGCACCCAACAAGGGGGGTAAGAAAAGCCACTTCTGTAGAGACATAGAAGTCAGTGTTAAAGTTCAAAGGCCTATCCTGGGGCTCTAGTTGTGTTCTGACCCTGCTGTCTGCAGGGACTGTTTGCTGCCCCAGGTGAGAAAGGGTGTACACAGTACTGGTGCCCATGCTGCAAGACATTTTCTGTCAGAAATGTTCAGTTAGTATGCACATCTTTATAAATCTTAATTCTGTGCATCTGGCATATTGAAGCAATTTAATAAATAGACTAGTGGGCTTTTGTGTTCTGGATAGCAAACAACCTAATTGTATTTGAACTTTTAGATGGCAGGTTGTTGAGAGACTGTTTATTCTTTTTTCTTTTTTTAAAAAATGTATTTATATTTTATGTATGAGCTCTCTGCATGAGCTCCAGCAGAGGGCATCAGATCCTATTATAGATAGTTGTGAGCCACCACGTGGTTCCTGGGAATTAAATTCAGGATTTGAACTGGAACCATCGCTCCAGCCCTGACAGTTTTTCTTGACATGCAATTAAAAATAATTATTAGAACAATGGCCTTTCCCAAGTCATGTGATTAGAAAATCCTGACTGTTGGTGCTTTTTTTTGGGGGGGGGGTTGTTATTTTATTTTTTCGGGTTTTTTTTTTTTTTTTTTTTTTTTTTTTTTTTTGGAGACAGGGTTTCTCTGTGTAGCCCTGGCTATCTTGAACTGTAGACCAGGCTGGCCTCAAACTCAGAGATCCACCTGCCTCTGCCTCCCAAGTGCTGGGATTAAAGGCATGCGCCACCACCACCCAGCTTGACACTGTTAAAAGTTACCGCATGTTTTACACACGGTGGCCCAGGTTTTGTTAGCACATCAGTGGGGAAGCTGAGGCAGTTGATCCCAAGATTAAGGCCAACGCTGGGCTGCACTGAAAAGCCCTATCTTTTTAAAAACACCAGTGAGAAATACTGTGAATTCATACAGAAAGCATTGGGGTTTTCTTACAGTAGATTTATTTATGTGTGTGTGTGTTGCCTGCATGTCCATCTGAACACACATGCACTCGGTACCTTCGGAGGCCGGAAGAGGTGTCAGATGTTCTAGAACTGGAGTGGATGAATTGGACCTCAGGCCTGTGGAAGGGCAGCCTCTGTCTCACAGCCCCATTAGATTCGTGGTTTTGTTGTTGTTGTTGTTTTAGGGTGTTTTCTATGGGGTTCCTGCCATTTCAGTTATACTACTCCTTGACTGCCATGAGGGTGGGATTAGTTGGCTTCGGTTTGTTCTTGTACCACTGGCGTCTGTCAGACTAGCAGCAGATGTGCATCAGTAAGGGAGACAGACGGACAGTGCTGCAGGAGAGTCCTTTATCTTAACTGTGTCAGTCATCCTGGGAAACCTGACCAGTGTGGCAGACTTGAAGAAAACCTGAGTTCCATGCAGGTTTCACTGGCCATTTTTCTTCTCTTTCCTCATTTAGGCAAGTTAGGAAGTCAACCTTGAATCCCAATGCAAAGGAGTTCAACCCGCGTTCTTTTTCTCAGGTAAGTCAGTTCTGAAGAGAATTCATTGTGATCAGTCATGATTTTTCTCCTGTGCTTCTGTCCTAACTAAGCACAGCCGTGGAATAACAAGACAGATTGTTTTTCCTTGTGGCTTGGCAGTGCGGGCTGTGCAGCCGTTAGAACAGTGGCCGTGAAGAAGAGCTCAGAATGCAGGGTGCTGATGAGTGAGGCTGCTGGGCTCAGATACCGGTCGTTCCACTCCTTCCCTCAGGGAGGTGTGGCAGAGCATGCCTGGAATCCCAGCAAACAGGAGGCTGGGGCTGAAGGAGCGGGAGTTTGGCTAGTGTGGGCCACACAGTGAGACCCTGTCTGAAACACAGAAATGAAAAGGAATAAAGAAGGGATAGACCTTTTCTAGTTTCTGAAAAAATTACTACAGCTTTCTATATTTTTTCATGATAAATATTTTAGCTTTCTAACAAATCGTTTTGTGTGTGTGTGTGTGTGTGTGTGTGTGTGTGTGTGTGTGTGTGTGTGTGTGTGAGATTTTTAAATTTATATATAGTGGGCCATGTGGCCCACACCTTTAGTGCCAGCATTTGGGAGGAAGAGGAGGCAGGTGGATCTCTGAGTTCAAGGCCCCCTTGATCTAGAGAACAGCCAGGACTACACAGAGAAACCTGTCTCAAAACACTAAAATAGAGTTGTATGCACACACACTTAGATAGGGAGAGAGGTAGGGATAGTGGTAGTTCTGGGGAATGTCCCAAGTCTGTTTATACCAGTCCTCCAGTCCTCTACCACCGAACAATGTCTGCTGCCTGAGTTTTCCATTTCCTACCCCCTGGATATTGAGTCAGCTTCTTACATGCTAGACTCTGGGTTACTTCTGTTGTTGTTGTTTTGTCTTTTGGATAAAAAGTGCTAGTTAGAAACAAACCAGGCTCCAAAGCTACAGAGAAATCCTGTCTCAAAAAACCCAGAGAGAGAGAGAGAGAGAGGGAGAGAGAGAGGGGGAGAGAGAGAAGAAGAAAACAATCAGTAGAAAGCTGGGGAACTGCTCTAAAGCTTGCACTCACCGTCAGTCACACTCACTGTGGCCTAAAGCTTGCGTTCACTGTCAGTCACTCTCAAGGTGGCCTGGCTGAATCTGATCTCTGGTTTTGTAGCCAAAGCCTTCTACCACCCCAACATCACCTCGGCCGCAGGCGCAGCCGAGCCCGTCAATGGTTGGGCACCAGCAGCCAGCTCCAGTGTACACCCAGCCTGTTTGTTTTGCACCAAATATGATGTATCCGGTCCCAGTGAGCCCAGGCGTGCAGGTAAGTCCCACGGGTTGGAAGGGCTGGGCCACCTTCGTTTGTTCGCATGAGTCTCCTGGGTTTGCACTGAGTGGACACCTGATGGCAGAGCGGGCTACAGAGCGGGCAGAGGGTAGGGATTTAGTGTATTATTCGCACGCGGATCAGAGTCCCAGGAGTAGTTTACAGAAAAATGACTTGCGTTTACTATAGTCCAGAATTGTTCCTTTTAGTTGTATTATTTTAATTTTTGATAACTCATAAGGAGTCAGGAAAACCCACGCCAGATCACATCAGAAGACATTGATAGAACATGAATTGTTATCATATGAATCTAATGATACGTTTTCAATCCCTTTAAGCCTTTATACCCAATACCTATGACGCCCATGCCGGTGAACCAAGCCAAGACATATAGAGCAGGTAAAGGTGAGAATAACCCTGCCTGTGTTTGCTTGTGGTCTGCATGCTGCATGAATTAAGCACCAGTGTGCAAAGAATAGTTGGCTTATGTTGTTTGTTTGTTTTTTTGGTTTTTCAAGACAGAGTTTCTCTGTGTAACAGCTCTATTTGTCCTGCAGACCAGGCTGGCCTCGAACTCACAGAGATCTGCCTGTCTCTGCCTCCCGAGTGCTGAGATTAAAGGCGTGCGCCACCACGGCCCAGCAAATAGTTGGCTTCAATGAGTTTCTGCCTGATGTATTTTGAGGCCTGGAGATTTTCTGCCTGAAACTCATAGGGTGTGTGTTCGCTTCTGATGGCCAGTGTGAGCATTCGGGTGACTCTTGATGAGTGAGAATTGGATAGTAATCGTGTGAAAAATATTCTTGTGTGTGTGCATGTGCACACGGGCATGGAGGTTAAGAGAACCCTGTAGGAGTTCCACCTTGTGGATTTTGTGTATCAAACTTGGGTCATCAGGCTGGACCACATTACCTTTAACCAATGAACTATCTTGCCAACCCCCCCCCCATGTCTCTTTTTCCCTTCTGCCCCTCTTCCCTTGAAAGGAGAGTCTGTCTGTCTTTTGTCTGTCTGTCTGTCTGTCTGTCTGTCTGTCTGTCTGTCTGTCTGTCTCTCTCTCTCTCTCTCTCTCTCTCTTTCACTCTCACTCTCACTCTCACTCTCTCACTATGTAGCCTTGGCTAGCCTGGAACTTGCTATGTAGACCAGGCTTTCCTGGAACACATACAAATCCACCTGTCTGCCTAGTGCTAGGATTAAAGGTATGCACCACAACACCTGGCCTTCTTTTTAAAGATGTATTTTGAGGCCTGGTGAGTTGGATCATTGGTTAAGAGTGCTTGTTGCTCTTGCAGGGAACCCAGGTTTGATATTCAGCACCGACATGTTGCCTCACAAACTTAACTTCAGTCTCAATGCCCTCTTCTGGCCTCCTTGCATACCAGGTATACACAGAGTATACAGACATATATGCAGGCAACACACACACACACACACACACACACACACACACACACACATTATATATGTGAATATTTTGCCTGTATGTTTGTACTTGTACTGTATGGGTGCATGGAAGTCAGGAGAGGGCAGTGGAACCCTAGACTGTTACCACAGACAGTTGTAAGCTGCCTAGTGCATGCTGGAAACTGAACCCTGATCCTCTATAAGAGCATCAGATGCTCTGAACTGATAAGCCTATTTGGTATTTTCTTTCAAAAGAAATAAATTTTGACAATTTCAACCTGAAGTCTAAATTGAAATTCTTGAAGAGATTATTTTGTTTGTGGTTTATTACTGTTCATGGATTATTTTGTTTGTGGAATTGTGATGAATATGTGGCACTCACAGAGCTGAGGCAGGAGGATCTCTCAGAACAGCCTGGGAAAGCCAGGTCAGGTTCCTCTCTAAACAGTAGAGGACAGAGATGAACAGGAGTTGTCATGGAGTTGGAAGTCATTTAGGGACATTCAGTTCCTTTGAGTGACAACACGATTTTGTCATTCGTTGCTGAGGATTAAAAGTAAATGCCATCATCGTAGCACCCCATCACTCGGGTGTTAGCACGCTGACGCTTGTGCAGTTTCCTTAAACAGCCAGGGCACCCCCTTGTCTCCCTTAATTTATGTATTTGTTGATTTTTAATCTTGTAAATAGTTCCCTGTAACCACATGTAATCCGGCTGGTGCCAGTGGAGTCAAGCGTGTCCTCCTACAGCTGCCTTGTTGGGGAAGTGGGTCACAGCATCATCGGGTTCCTGCGTGTTCTTATGTCTCTAGCCCTGCCCTCCCTTTCTTGCTGCTTTTATTTGAGGGGTATGCAGAAACTGCTCTGTAGTGTCCCCACATAGGTTGCCTGTTCTCTGGTCACTGGTGACTGGCAGAGTCAGTGCTTTCCTTAGGGAGGAACTAGATATTCCACGTCAGTGTCGGGCCCCACACACGGTACTGACACCCAGCTGCCCACCACCTCCTTCCCCTCCCACTGTAAGCAAGCAATCCACTGTTGTAGTTGGCTGTGGATTGATTGGTCCTTCCCATCACTTCGTCTACTCGTAGCTCTCCAGGTTCAGTGTGTATCTGAAGCATGTGAGGAGAGATGTGCTTAGCAGAGGTGCAACTGCTCTGAGCCTGTGTGTAGTTTCTGTGCAGGAGTTTGCAGCATGGCCCCCAATTCTAGTGGAAAGTAAGAGTCAGTTCCCAGGATCCACCGGTGCTGTGTGAAGTAGAAGCTTCTGAGTGCATAGGAATTCTTGTCCATTGTTAGGTAGAGTCATCCTCTGTGGACCTGGGCCGTGTGAGGCCTTAACCTCAGATACTTGATACACAGATGCAGAACCACTACCACACCACCACCACCACCACCACCACCCCCCGGCCCAGTTTTCAGAAAAAGAATTGGCACACTCCTCCTCGGTTCTGCTTCCCACGGTGCCCGCTGCAGCTTCACTTGGGTTTCTGTGAGCTTGTAACTCCTTCTCTTTATTGGTCTACTATTGGACTAATCAGCCATTTTTCTTCTCATTTTAAAAAGACTCTGTGAAACATGGATGAATACACACGCCTGGGTCAGTTGCTCTTTTGTTCTTGTTCCACCTTTGACTGAGGGGCCCCTCCAGGCAGGGCACCATCTTTGACTGAGGGGCCCCTTCGGGCAGGGCACCTCCACTCTAGGTTTAAAACACCCAGTCGTCTCCCAGCAGCTTGAAGTCACAGTAGCTCTGGCTGAGCCGACTGCCTTTCTCCAGGAAACCTTGAGTTAGTTTGTTTGTTTGTTTGTTTGTTTGTTTGTTTGTTTGTTTGTTTGTTTTTATTTTGTTTTTAAGACTGGATCTCACTGTGTAGCCCTGACCATCCTGGAACTCACTCTGTAGATCAGACTGGCTTTAAATTCACAGAAATCCACCTGCCTCTGCCTCCCAGGTACTGAGATTAAAGGTGTGTGCTACCACCACTTAGCACCCCCAATTCCTTTTACTAAGAACTGTGTTTTGGAACCTAGTCATTTGGTGTGTTCACTAGTGAGTCACTACCTGTCGCTCCTTTTAGTGACCAAAACTGGGAACTACCACAAAAACTAGATTTAAGGACTAATATTGAAGACAGCTGGTGGTGGCACACACCTTTAATCCCAGCACTCGGGAGGCAGAGGCAGGTGGATCTCTGTGAGTTCAAGGCCAGGCTGGTGCACAGAGCAAGTTCCTGGAGAGCCAGGGCTACGCAGAGAAGCTTTGTCTCGAAGGGAAAAACAAATTAATATTGATGTTTCTAATTAAGAACGACATTGTAGGGGCTGGAGAGATGACTCTGTGGTTAAGAGCATTGGCTATTCTTCCTAAGGACCCAGGTTCAATTCCCAGCACCTACATGGCAGCTCACAACTGTCTGTAACTCCAGTTCCAGGGGATCTGGCTTCCTCACATGGACATACATGCAGGCAAAACACCAATGTACATAAAAATAAATAATTTTTTAAAAAAAGAATAACATTGTGAATTAAAAATTTGTTTTGTTTTGAGATAGGGTTTTTCTGTGTAACTTTGGAGCCTGTCCTGGAACTTGCTCTGTAGACTGGTCTGGCCTCGAACTCACAGAGATCCATCTGCTTCTGCCTCTCAAGTATTGGGAATAAAGGCATGTGCCACCACCGCCAGGCAATTTTTTTTTTTTTAATTTTAATCTTTATTTTCATTTTTGTGTATGTGTATGAGTGTTTTGTCTACATGTGTGTCTCTACTATGTTTATGTACTACCTGCAGAGGCCAGAAGACATCAGATCCCCTTGTGAGCTGTCATGAGGGTGCTGGGGGTCTAACTCAGGTCCTCTGGAAGGATAATCAGTCATTTTCAGAAGCACTGAACCAGCTCTCCAGCCACTACTGTAAAATGTTTACTGAGACATATGTACTCGCATGTGTGTGTGCATAAAGGTCAAAAACAGTACTCAGCAGTCACCTGGTTTGGCAGAGCGTCTTCGCTTGTCCACCGTGCTAGATGAGACCCCAGATACCTCTGCTTCACATAACCTTACGTGGGTTTGGGTATTCACTAAGCCCTGTACAGTCCTTTACCCTCTCATTCATTACCCCTCTTAGTTTCTTACTTGAGACTTAAGGTGCTAAAAGATATTAAATGTTGATCTGCTGTCACAAGAAGTGATCACAATGCTTGCCTGCCTAGATCCACAGGGTTATTACTTCACATTTTTTTGGACCACTGGCACTAGCTCTTGGCCTTAGGTTGTTTGCAAAGGATGGACACACACACACACACACACACACACACTTATTAGAGTGCTTTACAGACTGTGGTTCAGGTAGTCCAACAAGGCTTCTCCCCTGAGAGAAAGATAGGTATTTAATCCTATGGCTTAATGGCTCTGCAGTCCCAGAGGACTCCTGGAGCAGCTAGCTGGTCTTCGTCTGTAGGATCCGGAAGTAGTTTCTAACAACCTTGAGGGAATGCCTCAGCAAGAGGACAATGAAACTTGCCATGGAGAGTGATGGCAAGCAGGCAGAAAGCAAAAGCCTCCTTCTTCAAGTCCTTTATGTGGATTGCCACATAAAGAGAGACCGGAACAGACTGGACCTCGTGTGGCCTTTTGAAACCTCAAAGTCCACCAACAGGGAGATTCCTCCTCCAGCAAGGACTTATTCCCAACCCTTCCCAAACAGTACATCAGCTGGGGACCAAGCCTCTAAATACATGAGCTTATGGGGCCACTCTCCTTCAAACCACCACACTGACTCAGGAAGGGCATCCAGCCACAGGAGAACTTGGTTTCTTTGTCATGCGAGCAAAGTGTCTGACCACCATGTTTTTGAGGCAGTCTCCCAATGAACCTAGAACTCTAGCCTGAAAGATCTCCCTGGCTCCGACTGTAGGGTGACAGGTGCGAGCCACACCTTCTTTTCCTGGTGCTGCAGGTCTGGTGTCGGGCTCTAATGGTGCACAGCAGGTGTTTCATTGACCGAGGTAGCTTCATGTAGTCCACGCTGACCTTGGAGTAACTTCCATTCCTTCTGTCTCTACTTTCCAAGTCCTGGGATTAGAGTTGGTCAGCACTAGATTTTCTCTATGATGAAATCAGTGTGTGGAGGGGGAGGGTTTGGTTGTTTAGTTTTTGTTTTTTAGTGACCACTTCTTTTTATTTACCAGTTAGTAATAAGCTGCCCAACATGGGTGTTGTGAACTGAACTTGGGTTTAGAAAGAACAGACCTCTTAACTACTGAGCCATTTCTTCAGATCTCAAAATTGTGTGTGTGTGTGTGTGTGTGTGTGTGTGTGTGTGTGTGTGTGTGTGTGTGTGTTTATATGCATATGTGTATGTACATGTGCACAGTTGCTTGAAGAGGCCAATAGAGGATGTCAGATCCCATGGAGCTGCAGTTTGTGTTTTGTTTTGGTTTTTTGAGACAGGGTTTCTCTGTGTAGCCCTCACTGTCTTGGAGCTCAGTCTATACTCCACACTGAGAGATCGGTTTGCTTCTGCCTCCCTAGTGCTGTGATTAAAGGAATGGGCCACTATTACCTGGCAAGTGCTTTTTAATTTCTTTTTCTTTTTTTTTAGATAGCGTCTCACAACAAGCACTCTTAACCACAGACCTTTCCATTCCCCCCCCCCCAATTTATTTATTTTACTTTTTAAGAATTCATTGTCTAGCCGGGCGGTGGTGGCGCACGCCTTTAATCCCAGCACTCAGGAGGCAGAGCCAGGCGGATCTCTGTGAGTTCGAGGCCAGCCTGGGCT